GAAAATGCACACGAGCGCCGAGTGGAACACGGAAGCGGTGTCCTTTTTGTTTGCCCAGCGGGGTTCAGCCGCGTCTCTCAATTGCACACAGACGGAATAAATCAACTAAACACGGATTCAAACTGGCCGGCAAACCCCGCCCCTCTTGTTAGCTTCTCTGCCATATGCAAGCGACGACTCAGAACTGAACGGCTTGAGACATGTCTTCGGTGCTTGCCGACGGCGGGCACAGGAGTACCGATCTTGTTTATGGAGGTAGGGAATTGTGGGGTCGTTTTCTGATCGCCTCGCAACCAATCACTCTGCGACATCACAAAAAACCCCGACAAACATTTAGAATCTCCCTGCATCTGATGGAGAATCAATATTTTGATTCGCCAAAGATTGCTGGCATGATAGCAGGTGTAGAGCTACACATCTGTGCACTCTAAAAAAAGTCTGTGCGTCTACTTTCACGCACAACACTCGGAGAACCAATCAGCGCAACTTACGGAGGCAGCTCAGCGAATGACGATGCCGAAACATCTGTTTAGACCAAAAAACGCAGTCTGAGTTGTGACATTAAGCAATGCAAAACGTCACGCTTGCATTGCTTAATGTCACAACTCGGGCTGCGTTTTTTGGTGTAAACATATGTTTTGGCATCGTCATTCGCTGAGCTGCCTCCGTAAGTTGCGCTGATTGGTTCTCCGAGTGTTGTGCGTGAAAGTAGACGCACAGACTTTTTTTAGAGTATGGGGCACGTAGAAGCTTCTTTCATTGTTTATATATCGCACAGAGTTACAAATTTCTGAATTTTCTCTTAACGCTTACATGCTCTGCCTAAAAAGACTAAAGCTAGCAAACAAAAATTAAGTCCAAACCGATTTTTTGAAGTTAGCGCTGGCCCTTAGTTTCACGCCATTGACATCGTCGTTCTCTGTCCGTTAGTAAAGAAGACTCGTGGTCCAGTTTAGCGAGCGCAAAGAAGCCGCGTCCCAAGGCGCTTTTCAGCACAGCCGATGACTTCAAACGTCCAAGACGTCATGAAGGAAATGTAAACGAGCGTCGAAAGTAGACCGAGTTTTTAATACATGTTTTTGTTTTCTTATTTTTTTTAATATTTGTTAAAATGACATTTAGCGCACAAAGCGCGACACAGCACCAAAAAAAATCCTTTTTTTTTTTGTTTTTTTTTTAATTAATAATGTTTATATAATAGACTAAAACCCCGAGGCTACAGTTTCACTAATATAGTCATCTAATGGTATGGTACAAATCAGTGGTTGGGAGCACCGGGTTAAGCGGTAAAATTGGATGCCCATCCACGGCCGGACTGGAAGCGAGCTCTCTCTTTCTCTTCTTACGGCCTTTGCAATCGCCTCGGAGTCAATGTCATTTTTTCTCCCTATGTAGTTCACTTGCTTGTCGCCAGGGGCGCAACCACCTCACCCCACTTCACCCCACTCCGAGAGTCCCTTCGAGCTGCTTTGCGCTGGTGCTTTAACTTCGTAGGTTGTAGTTTTGGCAACGGTTCCTCAGAATACTTCTGATTAACCATGCAAAGACAGTCACGGACAGAAACGAGAAATCAGCTGGATACGTGTACAAGCCCTCGAGGAAACACTTTAGGCTGTAATATGCACTGTGCAAAAATTGTACAGACTACTACATCCTCCTCTAGAGCAGCTGACCGACTTTATGGGCGGCCTATGAAATGATGATGCAGACCACAGCAATAGATAGATTGGGCCTGCTTACATTTCACGAGAGTGTACGAATTATTTATCATTTAAAGTTCCTCAACGTAGAAGGGGTACGTCTCCTCCTGTTCTTGAGTTGCAACAGAAATCCTGGAGGTAAAGACGAGTATAGTTTTTCCGCAATCGCATTCGCTGTCTCTACTTACAACTTTTTACTCCCGAATCTCTCGGGGATGTGCGTCAAATATTCACCGTTTTGGGCTCATCAGAAGCGCATTAGATAGTGGCTGAGGGTCTAAACGTAAGGATCAGGTGTCAAAGGCTATAAAAATCTCGGCCGCGAGTTGCGACAGCGTTGAGATACACTGTCAGACGCGCTTTGTGCAAACGGCAGATGGTAGCCCAGGGGTGAGGTGACAGCCCCCCCCCCCCCCCCCCCCCCGCGAATTGCGGCGGGAGGGTGCGATTGCCCCAATTGCAAAGGCCGTAAGAAGAGAAAGAGAGCGCGCGCTTCCAGTCCGACCGTGACTCATCAGTACCTTGTTTGAGTGAAATGCGGCTAGGCACAGGTGACGTGCTCGCGCCAACTGAGTTGCGCGGTGTTCATTCACCGGTGCTTCGAGCAAAATACCGAAATTTTCACAGTTGCGACGCCACACCAATACCGGCGTCCTTTTTGCCCTCGAGATTCTGCTCGCACTAGTGGCCGACACACGCCAACGGCTAAGGTTCCCGGCGCGATCTTGCCTCCGGAAGAAACGTGTGCTATAGAGATGCACGCTTCACGGTTTCCGAACACCTCACCGACAAATTTAGTCACGGCGCCTGCGCTCTGTCTCGTAGACTTCGAGAGGGCTGTTTTCCCGGGCTTCCCGCTGCTGGCAGTCGTAGCCTTGGGCCTCGGGCACTGTGGAGCGTCGGCGCGGCGTTGCTGGCAGCCGGGCACCCGTGCAGCTGGAAAATGGGCGGGGTCTTTCCCACAGCGGATTTCCTTCGTTCGCGACCCTGCGGCGCGCTGCTTTCAGGTGTTGCCTCGCCCTTTCAGAACTAACGTTCGGAAACAAGAATCCGCGATACCGGGAAGGCCGCGCTTCTTCGAGCCGCTGTGTACGTTGACGTTTATCATACGGCACGTGCCGATGCGTCTTTTAGTTGCAAATGGATACCCTGGAAGTAGTGGCAAATGGATACCCTGGAAGTAGTGGCGGATTTAGAGAAAGGGGGGGGGGGGGGGGGGAATGTTATGACCCCGCTTTTGAATTCCGCATGTGTAAAATTTTAGGGTAAGGAAAAGGGGGGGGGGGGGGGCTTTTTTTTTCAAAAATCTGATATGCTGACCCCCCCCCCCCCCCCCCCTCTCTCTCTCTCTGGAAATACCTGCACCCGCCCCTGCCTGGAAGTGAGTCATGTCATCCCTTTCTTGTCATGCTTGTCTGTCGAGCGTCGATGCGATCAACCGCCCGTCGCGAATACCACGGTACACCCCGACGCGAACAGGAACAAATGCCCCATTCGGCTCCCGCTGCACGTGCGTCAGTTGACCGGCAATACTACTACCGGCATTTTTTTGTTGGTATTCGCGGAACAAGCGAGGGACGAGATGGAGACACTCAGGCGCGGGGGCTATAGTTGGCGTCAAGACGGAAGGACGGCGGATGATTCGCGAGTGGCCCCGCGGTGCGAGCGCAACCTGAGCACGCGCTCTGAATTCTCAAAGGCGTCCTTTCCCGCAATCGGCCACCACTTCCCGCGCATTATTTGGGCCGATTTGTGCGCTTGCCGGTGTCGAACTGCGGTGCTTTCTGGAGAGGCCGCGCGTTTGTCACCGCTGTGCTACCACAGAGAGGACGTCTCCATAGCGGACGCTTATCCGAGCGAGGAAGATGGCCCGTAGTTTCGCGTCGGAGAGTTCGTTGACATGGACGCGGGAAAAGTGTCGGATCCGCTTGAGATTGGGCTGTTTTCGGGAGATAGAAATGACGTCTGTCTTCCGCTTGTTCCTCGTTATGTCCGGGTGTCACCAGTCAGACCCCTACGGCCACCGTTTACAACACCGAGAGTTCACATTCATCACATACAGTTATTTAGCCGCCGGTAGGAAAAAACATTTCTCGTACTTTCTTCATTTTCCGTTCAACTGGACCGAGTATATACGCGACCACTCGTACAATCTGACAAAAAAAAAAAAAAAAAAAAAAGCCCGTGCGTCTACTTTTTCACACAACACTCGGAGAGCCAATCAACGGAACTTACGGAGGCAGCTCACCGAATGACAATGCCGAAACATATGTTTAGACCGAAAAACGCAGTTCGAGTTGTGACATTAAGCAATGCAAAACGTCACGCTTGCATTGCCTAATGTCACAACTCGAACTGCGTTTTTTGGTCTAAACACATGTTTCGGCATCGTCATTCGCTGAGCTGCCTCCGTGAGTTGCGGTGATAGGCTCTCCGAGTGTTCTGCGGAAAAGTAGACGCACGGGCTTTTTTTTAGAGTGCAGTAACTAATTACTTTCATAAATAGTTTTTTTTTTTTTACTCTTTTTCTAATTCCCTTACACGAATTTTATTTCCTTGATTACTCGCAATTTGATGTGCGTACACGCGTAATTTCATTTTCCTTGAAAATAATCACTACTTTATGGCGGTGCCCAGGTATGCTCTGCGCGACGCTGTTGGCACCAACACGGCGTCGGTGTGCTTGTTCGTATTTTACTTTAAAAGAATATTGGCGAGCATTAAAAAGTTTCCGCTTACAGGTTTGTGCTTCAAGTGAGCATAGCACCTTTCTCGCACTAGCAGTTTTAATGACACGTCCATCGTTTCAGAAAAAGAACGGCGATCGCATGTTCACGCAGAGAGTGTCGCACAGTGTACGTGGCTTTTCGCCAAGAATATATACCTCTCAATCAAAGGGTTGTAGCATAATGTTGACTAAAAGGTTTTTGGTTGTGTTTAAATAGACTCTGCATCGCCTAATTTTATTTAAACACATGACAAAAGTTGTGCGCCGTATACGATGGCACCGGTACAGGCCAAAATTATCCTGTTGTGTCGCATTGTGTCGCGTCGTATCGAATCGAAAAACAAAAAGCGAGTCGAACGGTCTCGCGCTATGTGAAACACGTATATGACAAGGTTGCCTCGGGGACAGTGCCTACCCCGCTACCCAATCGCACTCTATCATTGTGGCGTATTTGTGCAAATGGTCGATCAAACCATGCATCGAGGACATCGGGCTGCTGGCCAATCGCGCGTTTTCATGCTCTCGATCAAGGTCGGATTGATTGATTCTTGATCCCCTTGATCCATTGCGATATGTCGATATCCATGACGTTGTCCGTGACCTCAGGATTCAAAGAAAGTCGTAAAAAGAAAGTCAGCAATCTGGAGTCCGAAAAGGTCAAATGATTTTGCCCATCGTATGGTGTAGAGTGCCTCAATGTCCTTTTGTTCAGGGTGATGCCATTCTTTGTAGTACCCGATGCCGACAGCACGCGCTCTTGGAAAAAATGCAAAAAAGAAAAATACGAAGAAAGCGTATATGAAGGTGATGTTGCTTATGCGAGTTCGGGCCTTCCAAGGGCCCATTTCCCCCGATGTGTCGTTTGTGTTTGCAAAAGTATTGACTACCGTTTCATCGTCCGGTCTGGTATACAAAAGGCGGAAGGCACCTCCTTAAAATATGTCGTTCTGATTTTTAATTTTTTTTTTGCAGAACTGAAGATGATTACCAATTCATCACTCGTTAAATGAAATCAGGAGAAAGTTTAATCTGCAGTTATCGTATTTATTATTATAATTATAAACTTAAAATGAACACGTTTTCTGTTCTTCTTTATTCAAATTATGTTTACACATACTTTGCATGCCTTTTTTTTTCTCTCTCTCTTTTATTAAGCCTGCGTACGAGTTGACACTATAAGCAGTTTTATTTTTATGCCGACATAAAAAATATCTTTCGACAGGCTGAAGCAGCTGAAGCTCCATCTCTCTTTACAGCAAAAACGTTTCGGGGCTTCCATGGCTATCCATGTATTACCTTACTCGCCTGTGACGATGTATCGAACGTATTATTTCAAACTTATGCAAACTTCTTACGTTTTCTTTATGGTGAGGCGAGGCAACTTTACCCGCACCGTCTGGTCAAAAAGCAAGAAAAGAAAAAAAAAAAGGTCTGAAGGAAGGTCGCATCTTAGATCTTAAAGGCAGCGTAAAGACAAAGCTCTCGCCCAACCTTCAAATCCACCTTTGGTGATTCGGCGATCCTCGACGCTTCCTGCAGGCTTCCACGTGACACCCAAGTTGCATCTCATCTGCCCCGAGAGTTGCATCCTGATCGTGATCGGCGTGGTCATTGGCTTGCTGCTCTTCTACACGGGGCTGACCTCGGTGGGGCCACTGACGCCGGACGTGTTCTTCCTGTTCATGCTGCCGCCCATTGTGCTGGACGCCGGCTACTACATGCCCAACCGGTCCTTCTTCGACAACCTGGGCTCCATCCTGACGTACGCTGTGCTGGGCACCGTCTGGAACACGCTCACCATCGGCCTCTGTCTGTGGGGCGTGGGCCTGAGCGGGCTGTACGGTACCGACGTGCCCCTGCTGGACGCGCTCCTCTTCAGCTCCATCATCTCGGCCGTGGACCCCGTGGCCGTGCTGGCCGTCTTCGAGGAGATCCACGTCAACGACGTGCTCTACATCCTCGTCTTTGGCGAGAGCTTACTCAACGACGCCGTCACTGTGGTGAGTGGCCTCCAGCGCTCAAAGACTATCAAAGCCTTCACAAAAAAAAAAAAAAAAAAATTAACATAGCGACATTTAATATGCTCACTGTCTCTGCGCACGTGGTACTCTTTGGGCCTAACCTTATTCTGTGCTCCGTCATTCGCTGGACCCTTCTGTTGCTCGCCATGTTGGCTGTCTCCGTGTTTCGTTGTCACATGTTCGGCAGGAAAGTAGACTCATACTTTTTTAGAGAGAGAGAGAGTGTGTGTGTGTGTGTGTGTGTAGCTTCGATATTTCAACTGTGCCGTTTAATACTGCTCGCATATGCGTAAGTGCCTACAAAGGCATTATCCCCCCCCCCCCCCCCCCCCACAAACAAAAAAACAACAAAGTCAAATACAAGTTCCTAGTCAACATGTTAATGCGGCTAATGATCCCTTCATTAGTATGATGCTTTGACATTTGTCGCGAATTAATACAGCGAGCAAGTGTTCCAAAGTGCGTCGTTTCGCGTATCGGAACGCAAGAAAGAGCATGCCGATCAAATGGCATCCTAGACAACGCGTAGGGAACGCGCGATGACGAGGCAGCCAAGCGCGCATCGTCATTGGTAGAAGTCGGGGGAGACAAAAGCACGTGGGCGCGTTTCGGGGGTAAACAAACGCACGAGGTGCGCAAGGAGCGGACGAACTTGCACGCCGTATACAAACAATATTTGAAGCCCACAAATTGAAAATTACTTACTGATGGACTGGTGAAGCATTTCGCCTTGCGAAAACCCGAGGAATGCTTCTTCAGAGAGACACTTGATGAACCCTTTCGCTCTAGCCGACACTGCATCCTTACTGCCGTGCTTTTGTCTTCGGTTTTCTTCGTAGTTGACTATTACTTCGTTTGCTCCTCGTTGCACCTAGTATAGGAATGACGGATAGTGTTTCCTAAATATATTTTTAGAAATTGAGAATAAAGAACTCCACCCGCTGTGGCGGCTGGAGTCAAAGCGTCTGTGAGACTAACGCGCTGTTCATAATAAAAATGTGGAAATTCTAGTCACCCGCAATACTCTATTAGTCGGTGACGTACCAAGAACGAAATGGAAGCTTCTCTCCAGCGTTCGCTCCGCTAAAGCGGAAAGAGGTGGGAGGAGCTTCCTCCTTTGTTTTTCACCTGTCACCGACTTTAGTGGCATTTATCTCATATTTTATTGTTAACCACCCGCAACGAAAAAATGACGAGAGAGCACGTGGTAATTTATCTCAAAGATGAATTTTACCGATTACGTTTTTGTACTAAACAGTGATGGTGACCTTTTGCAGCATAAGCATAAATTTAATTTTTACTCATTCCACTGGGAATACTAGTATGTTCAGATTCATATGGACCCGTTCAACGAAAAAAAGGCATAATGTTTGCTTTCCCACACTCCTGTGCAACCTCCCCCTCCCCCCCCCCCCTTTTTTTCCCCCCCATTATCAGTGGGCCAATGGCAGAGCAAGTGTAATTCCACAAGTTATGATGTAGCGCAATAGACGTTACGAGCTATGTTAGCCAGCTCAGCGGTCCACGAGTGCCACGTGACTTCACGCTCCGAGCGTGGCTCCGCTCAGCCGGAAGGTCATCTGAGTTTATTTTATCCGTTGGCTCGTAATGTCCGAACGTTGCGACACTTTTTTTTTTCTTGTTCATTCCAGAAGTTGCTTTTAGAACGCATGCTGACTGATGAAGTACATCAGTTGAATATCTGTGAATGGTTGTTTTAGACTTGATATCAAATACAAGTAGTATGCACTGAAAAGATGTTGGAATAGAATCATTTTGAACACTAAATTCTGTGTTTTGTTAAAGTTCTGAAGATTGCGATAATACTCTGCAATTCTTAAATTCACTTGAAAAGCAAAGCTTTTATAATTTAAATATGCACACCGGTGGTATTTGAGCTTTATGGTGATGTCAAATCAGCATATGTGGGCGATAAATGTGCCTTCTTAAAGAATCCAGAGGTTATTCGTGAGCTTCCCTTTGCCCACTGCTAAAGCGTGTAGTTTTAATTTAAAACTTATTGACTGTGCTTTCAAACTGTTGGTTGGAGGTCTATATAGCTATGGTAACTAAATGAGGACTTGTTCTCGCTAATTGAGCATATTAGTGGAGCTTAGCTACAGCTAATCAAGGTTACTTATAAATTATAAATCACGACTCATGGTGCACGCAACTCGTCGGAGAATCACGGTCTGCAATATTTACTAACCGTTGTTTTATTTCAAAAAATACTTCAAGGTGGAGTTGTCACATTAACATTTACCACTTTTTTAATCCGTTAGCATTAGTGCCCTGGTACATGCGTTAACCTTGAACTGGTTTGGAGCACACGTGTATAAAGTTCGCAACGTCGCCGCTGGATGGCGCCATAGCCCCACTGGCTGTTGAAACTGGCTAGGAAAACACCTTCTGCAAGCGCCGACAGATGGCGGCGGGGTGCATATTTCAAGAGGCTTGGTGTTAGGACGCATACTAACAGAGGCCGCACTAGATTGACCGGTTATAAAGAGTGAGCCATGACGTAACGCCTAGCAACCGAAGATCACCGGCGACGTCCCCCTTCGCCAATTTCGGCGCCGCGCAGTTGGGGACGGCGGGTGCATCACTGGGGCGCGTGTTAACCCCCCCCCCCCCCCCCCCCCCTTTCCCCGTTCACGCCGCTCCGCGGTGATGACAGTCTGCGAATGGCTCATTACAAAATATTAAATTATTAACCCACCTTGGGTCACGCCGCCTCGCGGCGCCCCGCCGGCGGCCTAAGTACGCCCACGGCCGGTCTCGACGCGCGCGCTCGCTCTGTACGCCCTAGCACCGCTATCCCCCACGGCACCTCGCGGTTGCTAGGTGTTCCTGTGCGGCCGCCGTCCTCCGTGCACTCGCTAAATGACCTGTTCTGCTTGAACCAGGGGGAATAGGGGTTTCGGGAACGTTCTCCCCGCGGAAAAGTCTTGAGAGGCTGCACTCATCATGCTTTGTTATATATAACCGCTGCACGAAATGCTCACGCATTTCTTCGAGAATCAGCGTAACGGCAACAACAAATTCGGCCCTTTTATTTTTTATTAGTAGTTTTTTACCCGACGCGTGCACATGGGCCATGTCGATCTGGAATAGTGTTCTTCCCCTCAGTTCGCGTCTGCGTTGCAACGAAGCATGCCATGTACAAGATCAACTCAATTAGGGTGGCGATGTGGGTGGGGTAGTTGGGTTCATAAAGACGAAAGGACAAGCGGCGCGCAAAAGGCAGGAACAAAGCAGAAGTGAACACAGGACAAGCGCTGGCTCTCAACTGAAATTTAATAATCCTTAATGATCCTTGAGGTCACGTGACCTCAAGGGGGTCACGTGACTTCAGGGGGTCACGTGACCTCCGGGGGTCACGTGACCTCAGGGGCTCACGTGACCTTTGGGGGTCACGTGACCTCGGGGGTCACGTGACCTGAAGGGTCACATGACCTTAGGGGGTCACGGTCATGTGACCTCCTAAGGTCATGTGACCTCAAGGCGGTCACGTGACTTCTGGGGGTCACGTGACCTCAAGGGGTCAGGTGACCTCAGGGGGTCACATGACCTAAGGGGGTCACGTGACCTCGGGGTCACTTGACCTAGGGGTGTCACGTGACCTCGGGGGGGGGGGGTCACGTGACCTCGCGGTTACGCCGATGCCAACGGCGACGCCGCTCAAGCCGGAAACGGGCCCCTAAGAGCTGCGCTCTAAAAAGAAATAAAAAAAAAGTGAAAGCCGTTTACAACTCCCTGTAGCGCCGAATTGGAGCGCAGCTCTTGAGGAGGAGGAGGGAAGGGTACTGAGGGGAGGGTATATTCCTCCTCCTCCCTCGTGATCATGCCTGCTAGTCCTCCTCCCCTCCTCCTCCTCCTCCATCCCCTCCCTCTCCTTCACCGCCTAAAACAACAAATTAAGCGTTAGTTGACTACCCCCTCCCCTCCCCCCCCCAGATCACGTGACCCCGGGGGGTGACTCCCCTCCCCCCGCCGAAGTCACGTGACGCCCCGCCCAAGGTCATGTGACCCCCTCCCCCCGAGGTCACGTGACCCCCCGGACCTCTGACCTCCTCCTCCTCCCCCTCCTCGCCCCCCAAGGTCATGTGACCCCTCCCCCCGAGGTCACGTGACCCCCCCGCACCATACTAGACAATGAGGGGAGGAGGAGGAGAAGGAGGCGGGAGGAGGAGGAGGGGGAAGAGGAGGAGGGGGAGGAGGAGGAGAGGGGCGCGGTTACGCCGACGCCGACGCCGACGCCAACGGCGACGCCGACGCCGACGCCGCTCAGGCTGGAAACGGGCCCCTAAGAGCTGCGCTCTAAAACACAGAACACACCACGGGGTGGTCAATCAACACGTGTCTGAAAATACAATTTCTTTGTCGTGTAAATTCAGAGACGTCTGGCTGACGCATTTCGTACCATCCTCTTTTTAATCGCATAGGCTTCCAAAATCTCCCTAGTCATTCGGTATCTTCACTTGTCAATAATCTCTGCCTTTTTGAAGATAGGTCGACACCCAAAACTAGCATGCACCGCTCCCACTTGACTGTAACGACAGGTCATGCTCCCGCAATGTGTGGTCAACGCATCTGCCCGTCTGACCAATATAGGATTTTTTACACGTAAGCGGAATTTTATAAACAACTCCCGCCTTGCAGTCAAAATACTGATTTTCGTACGTTACAGTGCAAGTGAGGTACCTTTCTTATTTAGAACTCTTGGGCAAAGTTGCGCGAACTTGCAGGGGACAGAAAACAGCAAGGGCACGTTGTACCGCACCGCTACTTTTTTCAAGTTGTGTGAAATCATGTGTTTGTACGGAATGACAAGCGATCGTTGTGCTTCCTGTGAACCTGCTGAAAATTAAGGCTGACACTGCGATTGAGAACTTCGGGCTTCCCTCTCTTAATCCAAAGAAGGTCAAAAGTGCGGCTGCTAAGCTGTGCAAGGAATTTTAGCTTTTCAAGTTGGAAAAACACGTTGGAAAAAGCAAGAAGGGAAACCTTGTTGTCTTCTTTTCTGTAAAGACCTATAAGGTGGATGCATCCTTGCGGGCCATCGTAACAGAGAGAGGTACTTGAGGCCTTGGCCATAGAAGATAAAGAAGAAAACTGCATTAGTTCACCATCTATTGCGCTACAGGAAAGCGAAAAAAGATTCCTCCGGAATACCAGTACCCGAGATGGAACAGAAAAATCAAGTAGGAAGAAGAGAAGGTAGCCACAACGCCAGTAGGCAAAGAGAGGAATACGAAGAATCTTTATTAAATAGTTGGTAGTCCAGCGATCACTTCTTTACCCCTTTCTCCCTAATTTCGTAGTTCAGCTGGTTTAACCGTTGTAATATGAATACGAAAGCATGAATGTCGTTCTTCCGCTGCCGAGGTAGCGGCGGACGGCCGAGCGCGCGCTCTTGTGAAGTGGCCGCGCCGCACCGAGCTCGGCCGTGCAGCCTCTCCGGAGTTTGCCCGAGCGGGCTGTGCGGCCAGCTGCTCCCTCTTACCGACGGCCGGGCCCCTGCGTGCGCTGCGCCACCATGGAGAGGGCTTCTCTGGTGGCGTTTTTTGGAACTGCGCCGCGCGAGAGCCAATGGGAGCTTCGTTCGATCCTTGATGACGCGCGCCAGCCAATGAGAGCCTACCCATCAGATCGCGACTTCACTTCGCTGAGTTCGCTCCATTGGGACAGGGGAGTTTAGATGCCGTTTGGCGCGGCTTCAAAGCTGATGACGTCGGTTCGCTTTATGGGACAGTTAATGCTTTCGCATTAAAAAAAAAGGTACGAAATGCGTCAGCCAGACGTCGCTGAATTTACACAGCAAAGAGATTGCATTCTTAGAAACGTGTTGATTGACTACACCGTGATGTGTTCGGTGGCTGATTTATTTTTATTAAAGTTCAGTTGAGAGTCGGCGCTTGTCCTGTGTTCACTTCTGCTTTGTCCCTGATTTTTTTGCGTGTTGTTGGCCCTTTTATCAGGATCAACTCCGCGAGTGTCGCTCCTCTGCAATGCATCTGTACGTGGTGTAAAGCGCACGCAACGGAGCTAGCTTATAAACAGACCACAAATAATGAGATATTGCGAAACGTACCAGAGCTGTCAGCGCAGTGCGTTATTGAAGCGATAATAGGATGTTTTGAAAATTCGCTCAAGCCTACTGCTGTTTCGGCAGTGTAGTGGGGCCTGATTGAAAAGTGATGTTAATAAAGTGAAATTAACTTCTGCTTCAGTGTTGGCACAAATTCTTCCCGTTTTTGTGAAATACAGCAGGATAAGCATTTCGGTGCAATTTGGCGCAAGTAGCATAGCAATTACACCGCTTACTATAACTTCAAATTTCGGTCAATTTGCATTAAAAAAAAATTTGTGACGAAAAAAAAATTGTTCATGACACCACGACAGCTGGCGTTTCGAACAGCGGTCATCCCAATATATTCATAGGTACTTATTATTTTGAGTGGTGTCTTGGGAGCGTGTGAGAGAGTGCTTGCTCGCTCTTCGATCTGCCCATATTAGTGATCAGGCATAAATGCTCCTTTTTTTCTTTCCGAAACAGATTGACTTCAAGGTTGAACTTTGGAAGTAGTATTACGTCATCCTCTCGTCACTCTTTTTTTTTTTATAACAATTTTCAGTTGTGAACATTTTTTTTTCCTTTTTTGACGGGTATTAATAATGTTACAAAACGTTTTCTAGGGGAAGAGACTTACAAAACGCTGCAGGAAGTGTGTGTAACGTCGCGTCTTCATGTTGTATCGATGTTTTATTTAGTCTACATTACAAAAGGCGGTCGCTGAGATGCCGTCGAGTTTTTTAGTTCGTCGGGACCAGCGCGGTTGGGACGTGTGGACGCAACGTGCGTGCGTCAATGCAGGTGCTCTACCGGATGTTCGAGGCCTACACCAACATGGGCCAGGAGAACATCATTCCGGCGGATTATGTGTCCGGCGTGGCCTCGTTCTTCGTGGTGGCCCTGGGCGGCACGGGCGTGGGCATCCTGTGGGGCCTGGTGGCGGCCTTCGTCTCGCGCTTCACGCACCACGTGCGAGCCATCGAGCCGCTCTTCGTCTTCATCCTGGGCTACCTGTCTTACCTCAGCGCCGAACTCTTCCACCTGTCTGGAATTCTGGCGTGAGTAGAGTTGGCGTCTTGCTCCCCAGTGCCCACTTTTCACTCACAGGCTGGACTTGAAACCCGTGAATTGGGCGATGGCTCGTGCCACCTATTCAGCATTTTCATTTCTACTGCTAATATACGTAGACACAGGCTGTTTGATTTGTATTCGAACAAATATATTTAAAGAAAGAAGCCGCGAAAGGTAGAGTTATGTGGTTTCTTTAGGTGGTCAGGGGAACGCAATATAGATGCCTAATCGTTACGTGTAATAGCCGCACTTATTAACAAGGCCTGTGGGTCTGCTTTCTCACGGAGCACGGGGATAGCGAATCACCGCGATCGGCAGGAAAATGGCGGCGATTTACGAGACAGAGATAACGTCTTCGCGCGAAAATGCTATCTGCTCAGATCACAATTTTACGGAGAATCGTGGTCTCAACCTCGTTAATTGACTTTTTTTTTTTTTTTTTTTACAGGACGCGATGATTGTTGCATGTGTGCTCTGCAGGAAAGTCGACGGAAGGGCGTTGTTCATAAGAAGTGCGGCTATTACTCGAGCAAATGCGGTAACTTCTTAATTAGTGAAAATAAACATATGGTTTCGATTAGAAACGTGATGAGCGTCATCTAAAACCCCTGAATCGGTCAATAATAGAAGGATTTGGGGCACCTGGCAAGCGCGGGGTTGTGCTAAAGTTTGCACTCGTGAAACAGGCGCAATAATAATAATAATAAAGATCATCAACCGCGTAGCGCGCCCCCCGCGCTTGCTACGTGCTCCAAATCCTTCTAAAATTGACCGATTTAGGGCTTTTAGATAATCGTCATCGAGTTTCTAATTGAAACCATGTTTATTTTTACTAAATAAAAGGTACTTAGAAATTTGAGTTAATTATTCGACTTGTGACTATTATGTCTCCCTGACCGTATAACTCACCTGCACCAACCACATTCCTCTACCTTTCACGACTTTAAAATAGACTTGTTTCAATTAATATCGCACACTGTATTGTGTGGCATAAATAGCGGGACTGGCCATAACAAGAGCCGGAAAAATCGGCGCCTGCATGTGGAGAGAAAATTTTCATCGAAGATGCACTCAGCGCTCCGGCCGGCGCACGGTACTACCTGCGCCGCCTGTCGCCTTGCTTCGCACACATGGCGCACCCCGAGTCCGAGATATTTTCTCACTTGCGCTCGCTGCGCCACTGCGCTCTTCCGGTTGTCTGCAAGCGAGATGGTGGGTGCGACAGCGGGCATGTGTGGTAGGGCCGCGGGGGGAACAAAAGATTACACTTGTCGTTCCCCTTTTGGTATTAAATTACTTTACTCTATCGCGCAGAATCCCGTAGAAAAAACGCTGACCGGTGAAGAAAAAATATTGAAGTGTCTTAAATTTCAACTGCGATTACCGTTCTTGAAAGTCATATCAAAATACGTTGCAGGTTGTTTTTGTTTGATTATAGGTGCATGCACAAAGTGGGACATCGTAAAATATAGGCCAAAATCTGTATGCCGGATTAAGTCCAGCTCCAATGTATTTATTTATTTATTTATTTCACTGATCGCAGATGTTCAAAAGACGGTAAGCATACATGTTACCGAGAAGGTTTTGTAACCTTGATTAGTATGAAAAGGTGCAAAAATATTATTTCTTTATTACTGGGCCCACCTGTTTGTTTCAAGCAAAACATGTTCCTGACAAGACACCAGTTTTTTGTTTACGAATTCCTAGCCTTAATAAGGTGGGACAAACAGTCATATATTTGTCAAGAGAAGGAGATTGAAACTTAATCGAAAGAATATTTGCAGAGGACATTGTCAGCCACAAAAGATTAATAGTCGGCATGGAGGGGGCTCCCCTCAAAAGTATGCGTGGTTAACGGCGTCAAACAGTGTGTCGCAACCGCGCAGCATCAAGCTTTGCTCCAATCGGCAGAAGTCCCGTTCAGGGGGTCCTGAGGCGCAGTAAAACTTGCAAAATAATTTAATACCGCGTCATTTTCCCCTGACCCGCGACCACGGCTCTCAAACTGTCTGGTAAGAAATCATAGAGCGCGGCCACGAAGTCTGGCTCAGCCCCGAAGCCACTCCCATTCACCTCCCATTGCTTTCCACAATTTATTGGCAGTGCCGCGGTGGAGGGGACGCCGTGACATAGCTACCTTGATGCGCCTCCAAATGTTTTCGATGGTATTCAGATCGGCTCCTTTTAGCGGCCAAGGCAGCTTCGTCAGGCAGCGCTCCTCGAGGAGATACGAGCGTGACAGCGCATTTTCCACTTCGGCGCTTTCTTGAAATGCACTGAAATACATGTTAGCTGAAAACGTGAACATTAGGCTAGCAGACGGCCGGAAGAGCGCAGTGGCGCCGTGAGCGCAAGTGATAATTTATCTCGGCCTCAGGGTGCGCCGTGTTTAGGGAGCGATGCGACAGGCGGCGTAGGTAGTACCGTGCACAGGCCGGAGCGCTGTTTCCGCTCATATTGTCCGCGATAGTACTTTAGTGGTGCATTTTACCTCGTCAAATTTAAAGGCGTAGCTCAGTCTCTGTGAAAGATGAAAACATACTGGACTATTTCAATCATGAGCATTCACGCAGATGATGGAGAGCCGTATTTGAAGCTGTTGTCGACAGGTAGTGCCACAGCACCATCTATCAGTTCTCGCGTAGGCGACAGCCAACAAAAGAAAGCAGACGACAAGCAGGCGTAGCCTGTCGGCAACAAAAACGCCCTCATTACGCAACTGTGCTTGCCCTTATTTTTCTTTAGGATTGTGCGAATTAGCAGTTTCGTATACTACGATATTCGATATCTGCTTCAAGATTACCTTCGATATTCGTATTCTTCGAATTGTTGATCGCGGCGGGTTAGCTTCATTGAGTGCGCTTCTTACCCTAGCACCCATGCACCGCGGAGAAGCAACATCCGCGGAACTCGCCTCCGCGGGTGTTGCTTCTCCGCAGTGCATGGGTGCTCGGTAAAAAGCGCGCCCAACGGGGCTAACCGGCCGCGATCTTAGAACAGTACAAATATTACAGCCGCATGCTTATGAGAAAAGCAGACTTCCAAAGCGGGGCGGTGCACGCGCGGCGCCGGGTGTATTTAGAAAACAACTGAAACTTTGTGAATTTTGATATCCACATAGCAGTAAAGTTTCCAAAATTAAACTGTGGCTATTATGCAAGAGTATATGTTAGGCCAAGATGTCCTGACAGACTGTGTTAATCATTTGTGGTTGTCTCTTTTCTTCTTTTTTTTTTTTTTCTTTTTTTCAAATTCGGGATTGAAGAAAGGATATTTGCATATAGCAAGTAGATTTATAAATCCCTTTGATTAGGCATTGCTGGGTATGTCTGTTGGCTTAATTTTATGTCAAATGTGTTATTTACTTGCTTGCCATCCCAATGTGGGCATTGGAATTTCTGAGACCACAGTTCATATAGTTAGATTAAAATTAGCTTACAAATGGGCAAGTGGAAGCTTGGGAACAATCTTCACGAGTTCAGTCACCTGTATTGGCATCTGGCCATCATTAAAATTGCCAAGGATGATGTTCTTCTTTTTCACGGGAAGAGTGCTATACGTTCAGATTTCACAAGGTATCAGCATCATACTTGTAAAAATTTCCTTCGAAAGCTAATTTAATTAAAATTACAACTACTTAGTCTAAAAATTAGCTAATTACAATTAGATTACTAGCATGGAAAAGTAATTCATTACAGTTTTGCATTAATTTCAGAAAGTAATGCAATTACTTTGCATATATTTTTCTTTGAAAGTTACCCGACTTCAGTGTTGCTAATGTGATGGTGTTTTTTCTGCACTGAAATGTATTTGTCCATTCCTTGTCTATCTTGTGAAGATTCAATGTATGGCATTTTACATTCATTACATTTTGTCCCTTTCTCACCTACCGAGTTTTGAGTATGATATGAGTCAGCTGTCTTATTAGTCGGGCTGGGCGTCGATTAAAAATTCTAACCGGACTAACTGCTGCCCTTTAATCAATTAATTGGTTGTGTTAACCTTCAGGCATAATACCTAAAAAGTGTCAGAGCAACAAATTTTCTTTTTATTAGTTCTTGCTATGTCTACCATAATGGAATGTGAGCCTCGTTTGAAAATGAACGCTGTACTGCCCATAATAAAAAAAAAAAAAGGAGAAAACCATTCTAAAAATAAAATATTACTATGTTGGTTTTAAAGATAATCACTCTATACTAATACAATCATGGGAAATATTAGAGTGCTGCCTCCTGAAGTACAAAATGCACACCAGGAGTAAAGAAAGCATTTTTACTTTCTCTCCAAAATTTCTAACTTAAAACTCAACAGATTAACTGGTTAATTAAATGTATTGCAATTAAACCATTAATTAATTGGAATGTTAATTGATTAATTGTCCAGCCTTACTTCAACACCAGCAAGATTGGTAATGTTAATTTTTTCGTGGTAGTTCAAAATAAAAGCAATCTTTTAGTGTTAGTAGGTGCCAAAACAATCGACCTACTGGAGGCTTAAACTCCCAAATGTTCTGCAACTGGCCCACATGAGTCGTGATAAAATATTCAATGTACAAATTCCAACCACATTCTTTCAAAGCATGAAATGCTTTTTAAAGCTACCCTTCCCCCCCCCCAATCCTTAAAGTTTGTCCGTCCACCATCCATCCGCCGTCTGTTTGTGCATTTTCCACTAAATTTGGCGGGGAAAGTGGCATCATGTGACCTATACAAACCACATTCTTTTTATTATTATTCTCCAGACTGCCAATGGAAGGCACTCTCACTTTATATTCTGTGCCCCTCTGTGGGTACTGTGGCTTCGACAGCTGCTCAGCTGTGCGTCCACGACCGGTGCCCAGGCACAGTCTTGGGGTGCTTCCAAAGCACCGTGATTTGGCAGAAGGGCAATAAAGCAGACTGTGTATTTTTGCCTGTCAATGAGTGTAAACCGAAGGGATCCAGCCTGATAATGTTATGAAACAAAGAGTTGTAATTGTCATTCAGGTTTTGCAATTAGTTAAAAGTACTTATATTATATACCTACTCTTACTTTTATTCATTAGTAAATATTAGTTATAAATTACTCAAAAATTAAATTAAATTATAGCAATTCAATAAGGTGAGCTGGCGGGCTAGTTGGTCGTTCATCATTAGTAAAATAGCGCAAAACAACAAGGAAGAAAGGGCGAGCGCCCTTCCTGTCTATCTCGCCCTTTCTTCCTTGTTGTTTTGCGCTATTTTACTAATGATATAGCAATTCAAATTCACTTATTACTACCCTAAGTATGTCATGCACCAGAAAAATACTTATGATAAAAATTTTAGCTCTCTACATGCAGGTCCCGATTTTCAGGCTCATTTTATAACCAGTCTCATTATTGAAGTACCATTCCAGATATGGTATTTAGCAAAATTAAGTCAATTTTCAAAAATTGTAATCTGTTTGACAGAGCACAAGTTATGCAATCGCGTGCATGCACCTTCCATCCTTTGGATTGCCAGGAAGAAAATATCAAAATATGCCCTGTTGTCCCTGCCAAATGTCTCTTCTGTCAGTTTAACAAAATCATTCCCCAAGCATGCCTTTTGCAGGCAAGATGCAACTTTTGGAAAGACAGTGACAGTTGTTTGCCATGGCTGGGCTCTGTTTCTTCCTGCAGGCTGACTTTCTGCGGCCTCACAATGAAGAACTATGTCGAGGAAAACATCTCGCAGAAGTCACACACAACCCTCAAGTATGGAATGAAAATGCTTGCCAACTGTTCCGAAACAATTATCTTTATGTTCCTTGGTGTTTCCACGGTGAACGACATCCACGAGTGGAACACTTGGTTTGTCATCCTCACCATCGTGTTCATCACGGTCTTCAGGTCTGTTGGTGAGTCTCAAGCTCAACAGTTGGTTGCTATCACTAGTCCTGAGAGCTGCAGTATTAATAATAACCTTGACTCACAGGGGTGGTACTCCTGACATGGCCCATCAACCGCTTCCGCGTGCACACCCTCAATAAGGTGGATCAATTCATCATGGCCTACGGAGGATTAAGGGGTGCAGTGGCCTTTGCTTTGGTTCTGGTTGTCAATGAAGATGTTATTCCCACCAAGAAGATGCTTGTGACAACCACCATTGCAGTGATATACTTCACAGTTTTTGTCCAGGTGAGCATGACCAACCCTTGACGTAGCTTTGCCCTTATAAATTATGGCATGCAGTTGTCTTCTTAGGGATTAGAGCAGTAATTGGAATTAACTTGGAGGACAAAAAATGAAGCAATTTTATTATTATAGATTACTTATATTTTGTAGTGACTTAATTTCTATGAACCCTGCAATTAGAAAACATACATGGAGTCCTATGACCACTTTACTCCTGCTGGCAAAATTTCATTGCAGCGAAATATTTTTAAAAAAGCAGCATTGTCACAAATTTGTTAATTGTTTACAGTTATAGGCACTTCATTGCAATGGGTGCATGTTCGACATGTGTAATGCAATGGGGAGGGCACAGACTATCAGTGTGATATTTACTTTGTACAAGGCCATTGTTAGAACAGGACAAGACAGGAAAAGAGGCTGTTTTCCTTTACTGTCATGTCTCCAGCCTGGAGCTTTACCTTGTCCAAATGTAGTATAGCTTCTGGTGCAGCATCAAAGTTCTATCCACATTTAGCTTCCCCTATAGGAACACCCCTGAGGCATCCTGAAAGCCATGATTGAGTCACAGTGTTAGATTCTGTGGTAAGCAGTATTTCTGTAAAAACACTGCCAATAAGTATGGAAGTACTCCCACATTCTTTTTTTTAAAGGCTGACCTACAGAATCATCTTCTGCCACGCAAAAAAAAACTATTTTCTGGTGTCTTTCTCTCCATTCCCTCTTCCACGCCTTTCTAACCCTCCCCCAAAAGAAGCAGGCCTCCGAGCTACCCCCCCCCCCCCCCCCCCAGGACATGAACAGGGTTTGTTTCTTTCTCGAGTTGAGATAAAGAAATTGAGGAGCGGTTCTCTCTTTTCTGGCTCTTCAGGATTAATGTATGTTATAGGGGAGGCTATGAAGGAGAAGACCGACACAAAAAAAGCAACACGAGAGAGAGAGAGAGAGAGATATAATAAATGTATTTGAGAGAGATTGGCTGTAAAAGCAACATGAAAGTGACATCATCAGTGTAACATGGTCATGTGGTATGTTGTGCCACAGGATGCATCGCATGACCACATTACATAACATGTTATTTTATGTGATGTGATGGAACATGAGTCTACAGTTAAGTGTATAAACTAGTGATGGACCGAATCTGCCGAACTTCAGATTCAGCAAAGTTCAGCACATGTCGAACTTTTGAAGGAAAGTTTGGCAAAGATTCGTCAAAAATTCGGCAAATGTCTGCACACACACGAGAACGCGACGGGGCCATGGATTACAAATGGACGCTGTGCAGTCGTGCAGTTACCATCATGCAGTGTAGTACAACCAGCGGTTACGGCGAAGTGTGGAGTAGGCAACACAGCAACTGTGCGTTTGTGAATGAGTGTGGTTCTCTTCAATATTTTCTGCCTCAAGAATAGAAGATTGATTAGTAATTTGCGTAGTCCACTTCACAAGTGACAATAAATGATGCGGTACATTCTGGATGACGTGATTTTCATTTGACCTTTTCAGTGATGCAACGAGGAAGTTGAAACATTGGCTGACAAGTACTTTAAAGCACTCCTCGCAATTTTAACAATCCTGTTTTTGGCTTAGAGGTAGTGTGTGCCAAAACATAATATTGCTTTTTCAATTAGCATTATTTCGCGATTTTCATGTATCTGCGTAAAATTGAACACAGAACTATAATGCATGATGTTGCACATCCGACATTCCTAACTCTGCCCTACTTCCTAAACGTCCGTGTGTGTCCTAACATCAGAACCCGGCATTTTAAAGGTTAAAAACAAGACGTTGCAAATATGGGACGAATATTTTCATGCAAAGCTGACGTCAAGTGACTCAAATCGAAAAACATGCATATTTACAATGATATTGTTATCTCTTCTAATGAAGGCTCAGCAACCGTTGCATTCATTTTTGGGCATGAAACGGTGACTCCCAGAGAAAGCAAGAATGCAGTGTTATTGCCTTCATTTTAGCAATGTACACACACTTGCGGGCTTGCGCTGATGATGCCTCAAAACCGAAACTCTCGTAGCGTGATTCGTGACTGCGCCACGCTCGCTACTACCCAACCCTGTTGTTACGCCACTTCTGCAAGCGGTCACTAAAATTGCCAGTAAACACACAAAAACGACACAGATACAATTATCTTGAAGTATTACCTTACTTAGCAATAACTGTGTTATTACATGTTGCATTTAAGTTAAGAAAAAAAAACATAAAACCTTTTTTCGCCAGGAAAAGAAATAAATATCAACGTTAAGTCTGGTAACAATGTATTTTTGCCGTATCTTTGCCGAACCTTTAGAAAAGTTCGGCAAAAGTTTGGCTTTGCCGAATCCCAAGATTCGGCACGGAACTTTCGATTCGGCAGAACACAACTGAACTGACGTTAACGACCCTATAATATATTCGATATACAAACATTTTGTCAGCAATGATCAAAATGGGCTGCAAGATGCTATAGAGAATAGCCATAATTATTCTCGGGAAATGTAAATTATTACTTCATATTAGCATGTAACACTTCAGAAATGTGATTCCTTTTGTCTTTTTCAGGGGATGACAATAGGACCCCTCGTACGTCTGCTGAATGTACCACAAAGTGTCAAGGGACAGATGTCTATGAACGAAAGACTCCACACAAGGGTGACTAGATGTTTCAAATTACAAATTCCTTAGTTGGTGTAACAGGTGAACTGCCTCATTAGTTTCCAATGTCACCTTGATGATGACCCTAGCTAATTCTTCTCCATAAAGCTCATGGATCATCTGATGGCTGGTCTGGAAGATGTTACGGGCCAGTTCATGGGTAACTACAAGATCCGTGACAAGTAAGTTCATTTATAAAGGTTCTCAGTGTGAGTCGGGTGACCAGATGCTCTGCTGGTAAGTATGGTGCTAGGCTACTGACTAGAAAGTAATCTGCTGGTTAGTGAGCATCATACCTGCACACAAATGTTTTCTATATGAAATTGGGCATCCCTGTCAAATGGCAGAGTTAATCTGCCATGAGTATGCGAGTATACTGTACCAGTGTGGGTCTTACACCCATGAATAACCAGAATAGGTGAAGCGTTGCATGTAACATGTAGTATCCAGTAATATAGGCATGCATGCAACCTGAACAATCCGCTTGAAAAAAAAAAGGTAGTAAGTACTTTTTCCTCCGAATCAATTAGCAAAACATTCTTTTATTTAGTTTTATAGTTGAATGCTTGTTTGATCTTCTTTGAGATGCTTCTGGTTTTTTATGTGATATACAAACTATGAACTGCCAAAACTGGTGACATTGCTTTTCTCTTGCCATTATTCTCACTACAAGCAAGATGAGCATCTCGTGGTCTAGCACTTGGTCATCGGCACGAAAAATCTGCACAATGTTTTAAGAACATTGTGCAGATTTTGTGCGCACAATGACTTCCACATATATGGTGCACAAAATGACTTCCACATATATGGTGTGAAATATTCTGAAAGAAAAAAAAAAGTAATCTTTTTTGCATGGCAAGCTAAATAAACGTTTATATATAAGCATCTCTTCATTATAAGACTGTTTCATTGTAATAACAATTAGGATATGCCCAGCTTGATACTTTGGTCACTTTTAAGCTGAATACCTGTTGAGCCAAACATATTTTCAAAGTCCCTTCGTTTTTGTCATAAAGGGACTCTACTGTATTTAATTGTCTGCCTGAAGTTTTGATCAATTGTGTTGCAAGGCCCATGGCAGAGCATTTGTACTTTAAAAAAGCTTGCCTAAGTTTGTAGTTTTGTTTATTTTCAAGCGTCTTACGACAGATGTTAGGCATTGGTCTTAACAAAATTCAGTACACACTTCATAACCGTTTGCATTAATAACCATAAAAAGTTATAGATGGAAAGGCTGAAAGTTTTTTAGGAATCGCTAGTGCTTAACCTTCCACAATGCCAGTTTTGCAATAAATAGAGTTCTTTAAATAAAAATAAAATAGAAAAAAGGACATGGAATGCCAATTAAACCCTCGTTATCTATAAACCTTTAAATATTTAAAGCAAATTGCTCCAGCTGCAAATTTGCCCATTTTTACTAACAAACCATGTATGACCAAAGTCAACGACTTTTGCAGGTTCTCATCGAGCTGGCTGACTGCTCTAGAAATATTTATCATGCATCAAACTAAGGATCCATTGCCTATCTTATAAGACAACACAACAAAGTGCCAGAATTGTACCTCAGACACAGGCATTCATTGTCATTTTCTTATGGCCGTCATACACTATACAAGAATACCATGCTTTGCTCCGGCCAAGTTTGATAAGAGAGCTTATACCACAGTGCCTGCAAATTGTGATGCAGGTTCAAATACTACAACAACCGGTTCCTGCGGCCCATGCTGCTCAAAGACCACAGTATCCGGGAGCCCAAGATAATTGAGACTTACTCCAAGTTGAATCTGGCGGATGCCATGAGCCTGATGAAGAACAACAACAGCCTGGTGCCAGTCATGACCAATGAGAATGGGTTGTCGCTGGCATCGCTGTTCCGCACCTACACCCAGACCAACCTGAGCAAGAGCAACACGGCCGCCGAGCCAACTTTGGGCGAACTGGACCTCCCCCTGGACCGGACAGCTACCGTGCTCAACTTTGACATGAACGAGCTCCAGTATTCACCCAGCAACAAGGACTATGCTGATGCTCAGCTACACCACATTCTTTCGGACTCCATGTTCAAGCCCTCGCGCAGGGTAAGCCCACAGCTACTCTGATGTCTACGGATGCCCCGCTGCCCGTCCTGGTGTTCCCCGTGTCATACAACAAATTGGCCACCTGGTTGTCAATATTAGGACATGGTTTGAGTAAGACACATGACATCAGACACAAGTATATGTAGTACTGTCTGTGCGCTCATATTAATGCATTTCAGTAGTGTTACAAAAATGACTCTCATGGCTTTAGCAGCGGCCATGAGGTGTAATTCCAATACAAGAACGGAGCCACAATTTATTTTCTCTGAAAAACGATTTTGTTGTGCAGTGACTTTAATATCTCAAATAATTTCAAAATTTGATATGGCAGACTCTTTTAACTCTTTGAATGCATTTCCCCCACTGCACGGGGGCACTCCAGCAGACACCCGCGATGCACTGCTGCAGCATGGCATCGCACAGAGGAGAAAAGCACTAACTCCAAGCGGGCTTGTTCATCTAGTAATGTGCACAAATTCTTAATATTTATCGGAAAACACCGACAGTTATATTCTCCAAATAAAGTTTTGACAAATCAATAGATATAAATAAGCACTGAAAGTTTTATTCATATCATTTTGGAATTTATGATTATTTTATTCCTATCTTGGTAAGTACTACAACTGAGTTTTTATGAATTGTTGGCACTAGTGATAATGTAGCTCTTGAATTTCTTATGCTGGAGTTGTGCCCAGATAGAATAAACACTGATAAGTGTTGATATATAATGGGGAAATAATCATAGATGTAGGTATTACATTGAATCTTTTAAGAAATGCTAAAAAGCTAACCTGTTATTCATTCATTCGTTGCTTTATTTTCTGCTTCATTCTAAAGATTACCTCACTTTAACTGCTTTGCCCTATAATGTAATTATAAAACCAATTTTCGGTTCTAAAATTAAATTATCAATTGCTTTAAATAACAAAACCAGACCCAAGGTTTGGAGTAGAATAAATGCACAATCCAGTCCCGTAATCAGTTGGAAGGTCTTGCGACTGACAGAAAAGGACTTAATGCGTAACAACAAACAAGCATGCGGTATTGCTATATAAAAGGACTCTGCTACTACTGTTGGTTAAATGTAGTAAATAGAACACAGACACTTTCGTAGGTTCTTACTGAATAGCAGGTGTGTGCTTTGCCAGTTTCAACAGAGTTCAAAACCTGGTCAAATAAAGTTCAAGTTGCTGAATTCAGTAAAACAAAGTTACACACTCATAAGTTTCAACGTCACATTTGGAAGGAAATGTAACCTTGACCCATCATATGTTATTTTATTGATGAACAAACACGTCATTAAAAAATTGATGTGAAGTTTCTGGGGATTACTTTGGGTCAAATGCACTTTCTTTTCATTTTCACATTAGCCAGGCTCTTAAAAGCCAGTAAAACATTAGATTTCCTTACTTGAAACCAACCTACCCTTAAAATGTAAAACAAGCGCCCTCTCCAAAATTGTTTTTGTGAGGTCCAAGAGAAAAAAGCAAAAGGGGCACTTCGTGGGGCGGGCTTCACTGCCTTGCACCGGGGTGCTTGGAGAAGCAGCTAACAAGGAGGAGCATTTCGGTCAGCTAGGTCTAGGTGGGCTCAGAAGTCTGGGGTGGGCGCTGGATAAGTCCCTTGTGTAGGTTTCATACATGTAAAAAGTAATGAGTGGGCACTTATTGTGACATGGGTCCAAGCTCAATATTCTATGCATGCGTTGCTCCTACAATTAAAAAAAGCTGCTTTTTGTTAAAGCCTTCACTTGGTTATCCATGTGTTTTGTGGGACATGCTAGAAACTAGAAAGAACTTTAAAAAGAACTTTAAAACCATGCCACAAGGTTTGTACTATGAAAGTATAGTAGAAATGTCAGTGTAACTGCAACTAAAAATGCAATTGGATGGGAACCCCGAGATCAACAACAATTTTGCCTGGAGTTCTCGCTGGCTGTCTTTAATAACTTTGTGGGAATTTACAAAAAAAAAAAAAAAATTCTTGAAATTAGCAAACAATGTCTCAAGTCATATGGATTATTAAAAGAAAATCACAAATATTTTGTCATGCCAACTACGAGATATACCCCTATTAGTTTTTGCATGGCACAATCAGAGAGTAGAATACATTGCCAGAGTCTGCCTTTACAAATAGGGTTGTGTATTTTTGGTAAATACTGATAAACCCCGAAAATTACCTCCCAGTACGGTTTTATCAAAATTGTGGAAAACTGAAAAACCCCAAATGGGATCGCTGTCCTTCAATAATACAAATAAAAAAAAACACCAACGTTCACAGAAGGAAGGGCTTTTATCTAGTTTTATTTTTTTTAACCCGGAACATACCGTAATATCCTAAGAGAAAGCCCACCCAAAATCGATAGCAAATCGGATGAACATAAAAGGTGAGCTAACTTTCGGTGTGCCATAAGAAGAAATGTTAAAAAATGCTAGTTTTCGATTTTGTGACCCTCGAAACTTCTGATCGCAGGAAGGGGTGATGTACCAAAGACAACTCTCCTTCCCAGTCAGCAATGTTCACTCATCTTCCGCTGTGATGAAGTAACACCATTTCTGCTAAGGTCACCGTTGTTCAGGGCCCTGCAATTACTAGTAAAGGGCTATTTTGGCGTTTCAGAAAAAAAAAAAATGTCATGTGAAAAACGGGGGTAGGCTATCTTTCGGGGGTGGGGCATCTCGGGATATTACGGCAGACCCCACTGAGCTGTCATGAGGCTGCTTTTCTTTTCTTTTTTTTTTTTTTCAGAATTACACTCGTTTTTCTTTCCATAGGTACCGGGATGCTTTCCGAGCATTGGGGTCATACACATATGTTCCCTGGAAGTTGGGGAATCCCAATCCAGTATCCTTTTTTTTTTTTCAACATAAGCCCCGATAAACGCGGATTTTTTTTTCTGACACCGAAAATTTACACCACAAAGCAAAACACTGAATTTATGGCGAAAAATAAACCCCGAAAAAACACCCCCGAATTCAAAGAAAAATAAACTCCAAAAACATGAAACCCTATTTATAAATGCTAATGTGGGATTGTTCCTTTCAAAAAGGGATCCTGATCTATAGCTTTCCTTATTTTTAATTATGTAATTTTGTGTTTATATAACAGCTTCTGGTCTATCATCATTATCTGTGCATTTTGCACAAGTGGGTTGTTTTCAGGTCGTACCTCCTGTAATGCTTCGGTGCTGCAGTTTTGTTTCTCTAAATAAACAAAATAAAGCAAGGTAGAATGAAGCGCATTGACATGGTGATACCAACCGTGTGCAGGTAAAGAGGCTAAGCAGAGACCGGATAGACGGAGCTGAGGACCAGCCTGCTTTCCATCATCACATGCGGATGCAGATCCGCACATTCCTTGGCGAAGAGCGGAGGCGCATGCGGAAGGCACGCTCAAGCCGCTCGCCTCATCAGCAGCAGCATCATCACTCTGGGCACGGCGAGGATCCCCCGGTGCCCTGCAGGCACCAGCAGGAGGCCAGCCGCAAGGTCCCCAATGGCGGTAAGCAGAGACCTCTTGGGCAGTTCAGCTGTCAGCTGCTCTGGAGTCGACAAGTCTGGCGTGTGTTGCACAAACTATGAACCGAATTTTAGATGTTGCTTGACTGGCCACTTGAAATCAGCTTTACCGGGCACTCTGCTCTAATTTCACGAGTTTCTACAGACATTTCCTAGAGTTGCAATGGAAACATTGTAATGAAGCAGACGTCTGTTAGTCACAAAAGGTTTGTTGTGGCAATTTTCATGATAGCACAGTAGATACTGTCAGCTGTGTGTCTCCTTGCATCTACATTTTGCAGATAAGAATGGGGAGGCATCACTGTCACACTCATGCTGGTTGAGCATGGCACTGCTTCAGATAATCCGGATTTGCCGCGACGCTTACAACCGCTACAGAGTTGTTGGTTTAAGCTTGCTGGTAAATTAAGTACTATAGGTATACATTTTCTTCCGAGGACCTTTAATGGCGAGATGTGAATAAATTCTATATGTTTTAAAAACAAGCCGTTTATCATAGAAGTGCCAAATTGAACCGTTTATGAATTTATTTATTTTTTAATATATCAGTCCCACACTGGGGACTATGATGAGTGAACAGCAAAAAGAATAAAATGGTTTACTCTATAGCAGAGGTGGCCAAACCGCGGCTCGCGAGCCGCATGCGGCTCTTTGCTGGTCCAAGTGCGGCTCGCGGATCCCTCGTAAGAAACCCCCGCCCCTTTCCGCGTTTCTCCAGGAAAAAAAAAGAAGGGATTTCAGGCAGCATAAAGTATGACCCTCGGTTTGGCTACTTCATTACGTATGAGTGCACAAGGCTGTACTGTAGTACAGCCTTGTGCACTCATACGTACAGTCAGCCTCTGAACAAAATTTAAATTTGGCCCCTCCCTCCTGCGGCTCTTGGAAGTTTCGTGGTTTCGTTTGCGGCTCTTACGCCGGGTCAGCCTGGCCACCCCTGCTCTATAGCATACCTACAGTTGCTTTCTTGCGCAGTTGTTGCAATAATTTAACTCTGACATTAAAAGGTCAACTTGAGAACTTTTAAAGGGTAACTCCGGTCAGTTCCGAAAATTCTGGGGTTATGGGTGATTAATGTCAAAACAACCAATAAATGGTTCTATGTTATTTGTTTTCCAAAAAGTTATATAGTTTTCTTGCGTACCTTGTTTAAACAAAAATCACATAATGAAACCGAAACCTTGCTTGCGGTAGGCAACATTGGTCCTGCTCGTCAACTGCTGGACATCACGTGGTACAGAGACGTTGAGACAGCTACCGGACTCGGGTACGGAGACGTCAAGACATCAAGGAAAGCGGCGGACAGCGCCCCACACTCCCTTTTTTTCTCTCACCCTTGCGCTCCACACCTCGAAACGTTTGAAACAGACAAAACAGTTCTTCCAGTTGTTGATGTTCTGAGCAGTGCTGGCTGTGCCCACACAGCAACATTGACTGCGCTGCTCCGCGCACCGCGCGTCACCTGCTAGATTGGGTGGATTTTGGTGACCGTGGAGCCACTCCGACTTCGTTGGCCGGTTTAATACACTTTTAGGCAGAATTGTGTGAGAATATTTTATGTGTAGGCTTTTCAGATGATACGACGTAGGACTGCATTGTTTTCTCAACATTGAAATTTGACCGGAGTTGCCCTTTAAGACAATGAGATTCCTCTAGATTTTATGATAAAATCTCGAGTACTTACGAGACCCAAGGGAACTCCGAGGAACCAAAATCGAGAGCCCATGGGCTTAAAGAAGTTTGATGTCTGGTGCAGACAAGCCACAGCTGCGGTTCAGCCTGCCCATGAATGGCGACTGCCCAGTAAACATCGACAGCCAGCCATCAAAGACACCGGGCTTAGGCTCTCACCATGACCCGGGCACGCATTTGACCCAGCAGGGGGATGCTGATGAAGGCATTGTATTCGTGGCTCGTCCTGCCGGCTCCAGCCCACCCAGTGGTGAGTTGCAAAAAATAGAGCATCTTTTGTACACCAAGTGTCTACTAGAGAGATCAGGCAAGTTGGTTTTGCAGGTTAAAGAAATTGGAACCAGTCAGCTTGCAGGACGGCTTTGGTTTCTGAGAAGTGTTTCCTTGTGTGGCCAACCTTGGTATTTTCACCATCCGAAGTGCATTTGTGATAGGATATGGAGTAAAGATCTTAGGATACTTATGATTTGTAGGGGTCTACAAATATTCATAATTTTTTTTAATTGCGAATAGAATATTTCCTCATTCAATTTGTCATCCATCCGAATCGAATAGTGATCTTTAAGTTTCAAACATTTGTCGGATAATTTTTGAATACTAGAATGGTTTAGTGCAGCGAGTTTCCCTTCTAGGTGCCCTACCAAGCGCCTGCAATATGCGGTGTGCAAGATATGTCACTATGCTTTTCTAGGTACTAGAGTAACCGTATATGCTCAGCTTGTGGTGCAGATGTGTAAGCACATTGGTCTCCCAATTTGGTCCTCCAAGTATCGTGGGAAGCGACCTTAGCAGGAGACGTGACAGGCACGACAACATGCAGTGGCGATTTGTCACGCTTGCACCGTAGTGCATATTTGTCAGACTCCATCGCTGCCCTCCCCCAGCATTTCTTCGGCAGCTTGGAAAGCAAAAGCATGCCAGCGTGCCATGTCGCCTAGCTGCATTGGTGGTCTAAAACATTGCTGGCATTATAAAAAATGCAATTGCACAGCTTCCTGTTTGTAACACAATGTTCAAACGCTGAAGCAGTCAGCTCGTCCAACTTCTGTGTAAGATCCACATTCCGCATATGCAAAGGGAAATGTACAATCCGTCCAAAACTCGACACCCTACATGGCCACTTCACCACAAGTGCCTTGAATCAATTCGTTCATATGTGACCCCTCTCCGCCAATGAGTTGTTTGTGGAAAAAGGAAAAGGAATGTGCTGCTCTGGTAATGTTTCCGTCTATAAATCGGTAGCCAGCTGATACAGTGATGCAGCTCAGTATGCACAAAAAAGCGGGAAGTTTTTTTTATTAATTTTTTTATATATAAGCGCAATAGAGTGTGGAAGTCTTTCGACCACTTTAACCCTGGTTTGTCCAAGTGCCTCATGTGTGCTGCCATCCTCAAGGCACCGACTATAGTCAGATACAACATAAGAAAGGCAGGGCGAGGGAAAAAGGGTGCGCACCAGAAAAGCCGTTGTGGAAAGGTCGGCCCTCTCTACTTTAGCTTTCCTATGTGCGCACCCTTTCTCCCTCGCCCTGTTTTTCTTATGTTGTACCCGACTATAGTGTGTTTACTTTTTGTCACTATTTAATTGCACCATTCAATTTCCAGTTGCATTCTTACAATGATTTGTAGGACCGCGTGGACAATCAAGACTTCTTCTAGACAGCATACTCATCTTCATAAACTACCAACTATTAAAAAATTCTATTTGTATTTTATTCGGTTTTAAGAATCACTCACTATTCTCAGACCCCTACTAATTTGACAAATGTAAAATATGCAAAGATTAAAATTGGAATATTGGTAGGTAATGCTGGGTACTATTTATAGACCCGACTGACGGTCAATCTTAAAAAGATCATTTTTATTTCGTGCCAATTGGCATCATTTTTAACTTGATGGATATCTGTATCCTGCAACACCCAAGACCAAAAGTAACCAAGTGTTTGAGTTGCACCTATGTAAAGATGCTGATGCCCCAATTATTGTGCAGGATCGCCACGAGCATACTCGCCGCCTCCACCGCAGCTGGAGTCTTTGACAGAGACAGAGACCACCCTTCCTTGGAAACGGGACGATGTGCCAGACGCTGCGGGCGTGCGTGCCCGCTGCGGCAGCGGCGATGGTGGCGTGCGCCAAAGGGAGTTCCCGTCGTGGATCGACAACCGCGACTACATTTCCTACCAGTCGCCGACATCCACCATCTTGGGTCGGCTAGACCGGCACAAGCGTGCCACGCCAGACATCTTCGAGCTGTTTCAGCTGAAGCCAGGCACCAACCCGATTGCCACAATGGAGGAAGTCCGTGAAGAGGACCACAGGGACGGCGACTCTCTGAGTCCGGAGAGTCCGCTGGCCCAGCTCCCGGCGGGGCCCCAAGACGACTCCCACGAAGGGGGGCCTTCGTCTACGACATCCACAGAGCCGCTGCCCCCCGCATCCACTTGGGAGGAAACTGTGATCGATGTAGACAGCGATGACTCGGACAGTAGCTCGAGGCAGGTCAGGCTGTGATTTGGCAACGAGACAGTCTCGGGTGTGCCAGTCACTGTTCAGAGATGGGACTAGAATTGCTCTCTGCAGTAATGCCCTCATTCAAAGCTCCGGTTTGTGGCAGGGAAGGCTGCAGTTCACAGAGGGAGCAACATAGCTCGCAAGAAGCTGGTGTCAGCCTGCTGAGGTGCGAGTTCCTTCGGACTTTATCCATGCATAACGGTTTCTTTGAGACTTTTTGGGAGAACAGAGAAAAGGTCAATGCCTGTGATCTTCAGGGTCATGAATTAGGACTCGAAACCAGCAAGAGCATTACATATGCTCGTCTGCTTCTTTGTTATTAACTAGCAATGTGCTCCGGTTCATCCCTTCCTAAGAGGAATTACTGTTCTCTGGTGCTTTTTAGAACAGTGCCTTGGAACATTCTTTGGTGCCGGCCCATTGAAGATGAGAACAATGGGTTTGTCAAGGGTGCCTCTTTGTTCCAACCACAAAGTGATGTGATGTGCATTTCATGGTTCTTCTATTCCCACCGTGTAAATACGAAAACATTTCTGACACCACAAGTCGGGCAATGTGTGGACAGAGTTCTCATGGTTTCTTGTTTTAAGTGACTTTATAACCGAGACAAAGGAAGGAAAGGTTCATCAAGTCATGTCCAAGGTCAAAGAAACCCTGCATCATGAAGCTTTTCATTTACACATGTCTTTGTTGAAATTCTCTACCGAGAAGAAAAAACAAAGGCAAAACCTCACTACTTGGGTAAGCTAGGGCGCACCACTGCGGCAGAGGTGAACCAGGAATGCCAGGCACAGAGTTCGGTCTAAGTCTTTGGCCGTTGAAATCAACTCTGTGAATGTAATTGGGTGCATATGCCACGCAAGTAAGTTTTTCTTTTGGTGCTGCGCAGCAAAATGGCACTGCAAGGTGTGGGAAACGGCTTATAATTGGGCTCGACTTCTTTGTGCTGCATAAGTGTAATTCTGCAATTATTTATCTGCCTTATGGCAAAAATTACAAAATACCCCACAAGCTAATAAAACAAGAACCAGTAGGACCATTGAAGTCCAGAGTGCAATCAAGGCAAGCTCAATTTATGTGTGCAAAGACCTCATCTCCTTATAATTTATTGAGGGTGCTATTTAAAATATGGGTAGCTATTAACAATTTCATTGACATTGGTCACATCCAAACAAAACATTTGATTTTCGCACATTTCTAGTATGCCATTAGAGTTCAATAATGGAGCATATATGGGCAGACAAATGCCAAATTTAAAAGCAGATGACAGTCCACAAACATTATACTGTATCAGTTGCAATGCATCTCATTTTACCATGCAAGTGTCTGGCAGCATTTTGGAACTGCTTGCCTTATGTAGAAAGTTTGTAGGTTAGTTCACTCCATGGAGCAATTATATCAGTATGAAGTCAAATACTGTGCAAGGTGAACAACATTAGAGAAAATGTAAGACTATCTATTGCCGCCCAAACTGCTTTTGACGGTGTATGACAAAAAGCTATTTTTAAGAGTTAATGGTGTGGTCTGTGCAGTTGAAAGATGGGAGACACTCATGTAGATATCTCGCACAACAGACTGTAGCATGTATGCTATAGAACAAAGCTGGGGGGGTATAGTAAGGCCTTCCTGAGCATTTTACTAGTATTTGTTCTTGTTAGCTAATATATTGGCACTCAAATGAGTTGCTAACATTCTTCGATAGCACACCGTATAGTATACGTAACCATCTAGTTTACGATCATAGCTAGAAAGGTGTGCATTAGTGGACCTAGGTGGCAGCTTGCCAAAGGTTCCAATGGCTTGCATAATTTCTCTTAAGGATTATTAGGTGTTGACTAATCTTTGGTAATTAAGATTTCCAAAATCTTTTCATTGGCTGCTTCTCTAGTATAGGAATCCTTCAGTCACATGTAGCACTGAAGCCGATTTCAAAGATTTTCTAAAACGGTTGTTTTTCAATCACATAGGCGACCCAAGATTCTATTAACTTTTTCCCCTTGATTATCTGGCATGTTTCCTTCTATACAACGGAACTTGCAAAATAAACAAATCAAAAACACTTAAATTCCTTATCTCCTGGTCGCCAGACAAAAAGAGAGGGGATGTCAAGGTGGACAGTTGCCAGATGCACGATGAGCCATAGTGGCCCTCGACCTAGAGGTCTATCGTTATTGTTACATGCAAAATGTATGAAAAGGTTGTGCTCACACAAGTGCATAGTTGTTGATCAAACTGACGCTCTTCGTCATCTTTCACGCCATACACAACACATGCAAGACATCTAGTGAATCAGACGGGCCAGATTTGCTTCTCCCACTGATCTCTACACAATAGACCATTTGCTCAATCCCCCAAGCACCCCGGTCCACGCTCAAAGTATCATTGGAAGTGTGTTCCTTCAGTTCCCTAGTGGTCGATAATTTCGACCAATTCGATGCTGACACACTTTTGAATGTAATCCGAAGTCATCCTGAATAGGTGTCGTGTAGATTGCAGAGACCTGTCATATCACTTTTAAAATTTCTCGTCAAAATCAGTGTTTTAAACACTGTGCATGTGATCCACCCTTCAACCTGGCTGAGCTGCAGAAATATCTTGAATATTATCATTCTCGCGATTGTTTAAAGAGCCAAGAATTCACAACAACCAAAACCAGGATTTAGTTCGGAGTCAGCGGGGCTGTTTATAGCATTTTTAGTGTTTGTCAGGTAATATCAGCGTTTTTGAGGCTGTACGAGAATGATAATATTGTAAGAGATTTCTGCAGCTCAGCCAGGTTGGGGGGTTGATTGCATGCACAGTATCAAAAACGCCGACATTGACTAAAAATTTTAAAAGTGATAAGACAGGTTTTTGCTATCTACACAACGCTTATTCAGGATGACTTCGGATTACACTCAAAAAAGAGTAAGCATTGAATTGGTCGAAATTGCCGCTCACTAGGGAACTGAAAGAACACCATTCCCATGATTCCTCAAGTATGGGCCGGGGCACTGGGAATTTAGCAAATGGTCTATTACATGCATCGCCACAACCTTTCCACAGTACTGGTCTGAAAGAGGAGTACCGCTTATCAGTGAAACACAATACAAGGAGAGGATGCCCACTCATGAAGTGAATGGGTAATATCCCCCGAGATATCCCATCCCCTAAAGATGACCCAACCCCATTTTTGGAATGATTTGCAATTTTTTCAAAAATACAGAAAGATAGCCCACATTTAGTAAATGCAGTGCCTGGGCCAACGGTGACATTGGCAGAAATGGGGTTAGTTAGCTACTGCAGAAGATAAGCAACCATTGCTGACTGGGAAGGAGTCTTCTTTGCTTCATTGCCCCTTGCCGAGATAACAAGCTCAGCAAGTCACATGATCTAGAAATGGCACTTTTTCAACTTTTGTTGATCGCACACTGAATGTCAGCCCACTCCTTATTTTCGCTCGATTTACTCTCGATTTTAGGTGGGCTCTCTCGGGACATCACGGCACACAAAATAAACAAAAAAATGCTTTGCACCCTCTCGATCATAGTTCCTCCCAGAAGCAGTGAAAGCAAACGCAGTATTATTATGCAACCTCACACTAACAGTGAATACAGATACAATATGCTTACACCGATTTCTACCAGAATATACAGTTCTGGCCAAAAAAGCTTCAATTGCTATCTAGCTTAAAAATACAGTATTTGAACAGATTAAGAATGAGAAATAAGAAATCGAGAGCACATCAACTCATTCTTAAATGAGATCAGAACGATGTCGCTACCGGTAAATCCCTCTGTGCCAACGTGAAGCGTCAGTTTTAATTAAATGGTCAGATTTACCTCCGATACTTATGCATCATGTTGTAATTGTGAAGCAAAACTTTGAAATCGACTTCAGCATTTGTTTAAGAAAGATGAATTTCCCATGTTGTTTCGATTTCGAGATTCTTGGGAGTGAAGTATTTTCAGAGGAGACGGCACATTTCTTCCTGTAAATGTTCCCCAACATTTTTTAAGGGGAAACCTTTTTTTTATAATTATTTTGCATACAAGAGTCGGAGAAAATCTGTCATTTTTGTAGATCAGTTGTCCTTTTATCTTTTCCTGGGTAATTGTTTTCATTCTGTGGTGCAATTTCATGTGGCATCTTGAGCTGGAGCCATGCTAGTCACATGCTTTTTTTGTTTGGCAAATCATTGAAGTGCTTTAATCTAGGCAGTGGCCACACAGCTTAACTCTCACCCAATCCTGTGAAATTTAAGCTATCCTATTTTGGCATTGCCGTTCGCCATGCCGGAGCAGGGCCCTGTAGCAGGCAGCGACAAGAAAGAAAAAAAGTATATTTATTGATGCTCCCAAACGAGTCCATTCTCTGCTATCAACTCCTTGTTCAGCATGCTCCTGGGTCCAATGTTTTTTTCTGGTATGAATTTCCAGTCAGGTCATGGTTATTGCCTTAAACTCTGGCGACGGCTCGATGCTTAGTGTGGCCACGAGACTAGCGACATTTCGAATGGGACCATGCCGAAGGATGCAGCTTTGGGACTCCAGAGTGGCTTTTGCCTCGTTGCCTGAATGATAATGTTTTAGGATTTTGTTATGGCTTTTCGTAATTAGCTGTGCTTCTTGCCAGACATTTTGCTTGTTCCATCCAACCACTCACACACTGTGCCCTTCCATCTATGAGCTTGTTCTGGGTTTAGTATGCTAGTGTCCGAGGAGACCGCCCTCTCAGACTCAAGTTCCTACTGCGTTTCTTGGGGAGCTCGTCGACATGTGTGGCCTATATTGCAACAGGCCAAAGAGCAAAAATTGTTGTCTCCCGGTGAGATGTTGTTTTCTTTTAGCTTTTATTCAACATTCTTAACCCTGCATGTTTAGTGTGTCTGTAGTTACTGTTTTGCTGTTGGTTGACTTTTTAGAGACGACTTTTGGGCTCATGCCCTACCAATTTTCTTTTTTTGTTGTTGGGCCGTTTTTTTTTTTAAGAGCCCAGCAGAAAGAAACCTCCCCACCAATGCTTTGTAGAACAAATGTGAAATGGGTTGTGTTAAGTTTTTCTCAATGAAAGTGCATTTCATATTCTATCATTTGTACATTAAAGTTGCTTTCAGTGGCAACTACTTATTACTTGTACATAGAATTCTAGAGTTTAGGCTTTTTGTCCCCCCTTGTTGTATTTATTGCAACTCATGCAAAGTTGGTCCAGACTCTGAAAGTGAACGGGAAGAAATTGCATTGAAAGCAATCAGTTTTCCAGTGTTCAGGCAGTAGCCTTGTTAGATATGGGGGCAGCAGCTATTTATCAGGTATTAATTGTGTTAAATATATGTGTGGGACTGACCAACTTGAAGCCTGGCAATTGAAATGACAGGAACAAAGGAAAACGTTTGAACTGTGATTTAATGTTATATTTTAGTAACCTTGAAGAGTGGCGAAGACTACTTTAGAGAAGAAGCAGTGACCTCTTGCATCCTGAAGGACACAAGACATTCCAATTGCTTGAATTTGGTGTCTGCTACAGAACGAATTCAAATAAAATGAATTGTTGTTAAGAAAACCCTGGCATCTATTCTGTTGTGGATCGGGAGGAAAATGCCGAGAAGCACCCACCAAAAGGGAGATAATCACAAAAAAAAAAGAAGGGGGGATACATGCTCTTGTTAGGTTCGAGAGGAGAAGCAGAAGGGACAAAAGGTAGGGTAGGCCCTTGCTAGGCCCTTGTTTGATCGAATAGGACTGTACGCAAAGTGCAAGTTTGTCCGCTTCTTTTGCAGGGGTTGTGGCGACGCCAGAACGCCGAGCTCCGGTCGGCTCTGATTGAAGGATAGTAAGTAGACCTCGAGGCAGGCCGAGCTCCGATTGAAGGAAGGCCGGCATTCTGACGTCACCATAACCCCCACAAAAGAAGCAGAACTTAGTATACAGGTCTGGCAAAACCTGTCATTTTACAGCGGTAGCTGTTAGTGCCCCATTCCGGCAAAAAATGCTCATGTACGAATGCGAAACCCCCTCTACAGCAGAGGCACTGCTCTCCCTCTGCTTGTCATTCCTCGGACACTGCAAGGCTCTCTTGCTCTCCCCTCCCTTCCCCCCTGTAGGCCGCCGCCGTTCTTGCCCCCTTCTCCCTGTTCTAGCTGCCGTTGCAAAATTCCGATGTGGTCACGCTGTGCGGACACGCCCCTTGCCTTCCCGCTGCCACCGCTCAGGTTCTGTTCTCGTGTACTATCTTGATCACAGTTAGTGGGAACACAGGAGCGCATGGCATTGGGTACTATCGGATCAGTCTAACTACCCGGTGCTTAACTGCAGCGCCTCCGCAACGCTGCAATTGCAGTTGCACGCCTGGCCGCTGAAGTGCTCCGATAGAACCTGATGCTGCGCGCTCCCGTCCGTGCTCTCGCTAACTGTGATCAAGATAGTACTCCTCGCGCCCTCTAAAGAACAGCTCGCGTACATACATTTGCTTTTTTCACCGCAGGCGGGCCGCCTCCTATTCTGAAAGAGCATTTCAGCCAAAAAAAAAAGCATGCCTCTGTCCTTCTTCAACACATGCAACATCTCGCACAATCGTTCCACTAAAGCACGCGTCTCCTACATCAATTCCAGTGAAAACAATGAACCCGCTGCAAACATTGTACAGCACACTGGCTGAAGGCAAATCTCCTTCAACATGCCTTTCCAGAATGCAGCAGCTGTCGATCGCAGCACTTCGGTTGTTTGCTATTTTTTAAAGCCGCCCCACTGCTCGTGTCAAGCCTGCTTTGTGGTGGTGCTCTCTTCAAGCGTCACCGCTTTGCATTGGCTTCTTGGAGAAGCAGAATATGCGGAGGAGCATTAAGGTTACCTCGGTGGGCTCCAAAGTTTGCTGGGGTGGGAGCTTGGTATGTGCTTTGCTTATATTTCAAACGTTTAAAAAATAGGAGGGGGGGGGGGGGGCTTTCCAAGCAGCACGGATTTTGGCCAAGCATTGGCCAATGGCTGGCGAAGGTCTTTTGGCCAATGGCCAAAGAGTTGCCATTCATCGGCAAATGCTTGGCCAATGGCTGATGGCCAGAGAAAGGCCAGTCATCGGCCAATGCTGGCCACTGGCCAAAGGATTATTGCCAGCAATTGGCCAATGATTGGCCAAATCTGTGCTACTTGGGTTATTGCGACATGGGCACATGCTCAGTACTTTACAGTATTTGTATCCTCCATGTTTATGTACCAAGGCAATGCCGGTTCTTTGTTTTCTTTTTTACGACTTTGTCTTCGAGTCCTAAAGAAAAGAAGAGATAAAAAGTGGTCCACATAGAAGATGGGTATGACTAATATATTTTAGACCAGGTGGCACAAGTGTTGTGGTAAGTTATTTTTCAACACAGGACCAGCTAGTTCAATATGCATGTTCCTAGCCAAAGAGGGATAGAGAAAATGTGTAGGCCAGACGAAATTTTCATTTTCTTAGAATCGCCATTGGTATTAAAGGCACATTCCTCCAACAATAAATATTTACTCATGCTCCTTTGTCAGATGAAACATCAGAACTGAACACATATCAGAATTCTCACTTAACTGATATTTGACAATCGCGTGCAACTAAATAAATAGGAATCCAGGGGTTCCCAGAAGACCATCAGTTGCCAAAACTTTTTCATCTTTCCTAGCCCAAACTAAATACTTCTTTAGCTTAGCGACAGTTCACAAAAAGCTGGGCCATGATTTGAAGCATTGCATGGAGCCAAATATGTTTATCACTGAACTATTTGGAGTCGGCACTTCACAATGCTCTCTCTGCTGTAAGAATGCCAGAGGGGCAAGGTAGAATTCCTCAACTGTCTTTCAGGAAGACATCCGTACCTGCTTCAACGATGACCAGGGTTTTTTTAATCCAAATGTTTGAGAGCCCCTGGCATAGAGAAACCAGCCAAACTCGGAAAACAAATTTGTCGCACAAATTGGTAAGCCTTATAACTTTCAATGGTTAAACCTGAACATGGCTATATTACAAGATTACATTGCTCAGTCGAAACAATTATTTCACATTGTTGCCAGCAACACACTGTTATATTATACAGCAGCTACATGCCCAAACAAGGGAACAGCAGACTTTTACAGCAAAGCACTGTCCAGGTGCGAGTCTTACAAAATGCTGCCGCCTGCTACTAAACAGTTACTCTTTTTAGAACTTGAGCACAAACAGCAAAACAATGAGGATGATGGTGGATGCAGCCATGACAAGAATGCACATCATTTTGTGGTTCTTCTTCTGGAATGTATCTGCCTTCTGAAGCTGCTGAAGCCCTTGTTGGACCCTAGTCTGAACATTGTCAAGATTGTAGTCTATCCGATCCAGCACTGTACCCTGTTGAAAGAAAACAAAACAGTGTCCAATCCTTCTAAATTTTATCTCCCCAATACCAAGTTTGTAAGTATATACATAGTAACATATATTAAAAAAAAAACTAGTAACACTTTTTTTTAGTGATTGCTGTATCGCATCATCTAAAGAATTCCTATTAAAGTACCAATTCATACCTGCTCTGCAACCATACTTGCAATGTCTTTGAAGATAGAGTTGAGCTCCGTGATAGATCGCAGAATGGTATTAATTTCCCGTTCACGCATCTGCACCATTTCTGTGTTGTCTTCGAGAAAAAGCTGGTCTTCCATGAGGTACTCTTGCTGCAGTACAAAAAACAAATATTGTTAGTTGCTTGGTGCTCTTAGATGAATGAAAACAGCAATACACAGCAGCCTTAAAAAGAAACTGAGCTCCCCAAAACATTATTTTTTTTTGTTTCTTTAGATAGGACACACGTCATCCCCCAAGCCCCCCCCCCCCCCCCAACCCCCCCGCCCCCCCCAAAAAAAAAGAAAAGAAAGCAATATTTATGTTGCAAAACATATTTTGAGTTACGAATGATTCTGATATTTTGGCACATCAACCTGAAACACAAGCAGGTTTCAACATTGTTCCTAGAAATGCTGAACACCACCAAAACTCCCCCCCCCCCCCCCCCACAAAAAAAAGGAAGCAATATTTATGCTGCGAAACATATTTTGAGTCACGAACGATTCTGATATTTTGGCAGATCAACCTGAAACACAAGCAGGTTTCAAAATTGTTCCTAGAAATGCTGAACACCACCAAAACTACTCCCCCCCCCCCCCCCCCCCCCCAAAAAAAAAAGAAAGCAATATTTATGCTGCAAAACATATTTTGAGTTACGAACGATTCTGATATTTTGGCACATCAACCTGTAAAATTGTTCCTAGAAACACTGAACACCCCGAAAAATTCTTAATGTCGGAATTGCAGATGCATGTTACAAAATAAACTCCCTAAACAAACAAAAATGTTTAAACTATAGCGGCAATTTACGTCATAAAATTTTGAGTAAAGAGCTATTTCGAAACGTGTTTCTATTTCAGCACATTGTCTCGAAATAAAAGCATGTTATGACACTCAGGACAAATCTCACAGCCTAAATATTGTGCTCTTTTTTTTTTCTTTTACATGGAAAGTTTGTCGGTGGGTATACATAGATTCTATCCAGACACTTTAAAAAGTTAATATTTTTAGCTCTGCATTGTTTTACGGAAACATGCCCTGCTTCTGTGCACCCGAGTGTTTCTTCAGTCCCTCATAAGCAACTGCAAACCAACGCACATCTCTCTTGAAGGCATCGGGCGACAGCCGTGTTTCCTCGCTGTAGAATGGGACGTCGAAAAACTTGTTTGAATGTTCCTCCCGAGACTGAAGTCCTTTTTTTTTTTTTTGAGAAAAAGAAGAAAAGAGGAAGGAGCATGTAGTGACAACCAATATAACCCAATAAAGACAAGCTCAGTGATGAAAGCGGCATTTGACCTTTTGTAGCAGACAAAATAGTGATTTGGAGCAACCACTGACGCTTTCGGAACAAATGCCAACATCTGTTAGCAAATCCCTTGAGAATAAAAAAAATGATTGCATCTCTAAATGAGTTCATTTATGATAGTGATCAAGGGTTCCTCTTTGATACTCGAACATATTACTTATTACCGGTTAATTTACAATGGGTATTAAAATATGGTTGAAAAGGTAATCATAACGCAACACTTAATTAGGATAAACACTCTCTCCCCTCCCCATTTTACACTCGGTAGTTTGTTTAGCTTGTAAAAATAATTTCTGTAAAATGCCAGCAAGAACCAGCATATCTGCTAACACGTCTACCAATAAAAGTGTGTCTCCTAAGTTTAACAAACCTACTAAACTCACAAATGCAAAAACAACCACCCAAAAGTATTATAAAAGCCTACACTTGTGCTTTAAAGCCGACACTGCTCGCTGCTCTTTCGATCAACAGCTGAACGCGAACTATCGCGACAACCATATTTATTCAAATATAAATAGACCTTTGCGTCTGTCCTACGTCCCTTCTTTTCCTGCCTCCAGGGTTACCATGTCAGTATGGAACCAGCTCGTCTGCACCCTTGTTTTAGTTGCATAAATAGACCCACGTTTTCTTCTTTCTTTTTCTGCTGTTCTCTTTTGTTTTTTTAATTAGAGATTTACTTACAATTAGGACAAAGAAGGTCGACCTGCAATAATCCTGAGCATAATTTATGTGCCTATTGAGCTAAGCCAGGCACTCCCCCAGGTCAGTCTGTGCTCCTAGCACTCTGGTGCAAAGCAGTGAAGCTCGACGCAAGCGGCGCAAGTGCCACGGTACTTTGCAGCCACGGAACGAAGGCATGTGGCAGACATGATAATCAAGTGATCTTATCAGGAGTACAAGGCCCTGGTTCTGTTTCATCACAGTAGCCGCAATCGGCAATCCTACTATTTTGCAAAGTTTTCTCGGGACTCTGTTTCTGACATCGACGACATTGTCTGGAAATTTAGACGATGTCGGCAATCAAGCAGCCAGCGCATTAACCGGTCAGAGCGGTTGATGCCTAGCCTCAACGGCTCTGGCCGGTTGATTTGCAGCATAAAAGCATGACATCATGGCACTCATCATTTTCTCATACCTGTTCTTTCATTGGCTAAACCAATCAAGTGCAGCGAATGTCCCGTCACTTGCGCTTTTAGTATGTGTGTTTCTGGTTGTATGTGTTTGAGCCTTCGACAGTCCTCAGACCTAAGACGAAACAAACTATACAGTGAGTAGAGATGAGCTGTGAAATTCATATTTGTACAATTTTTCTTTCCTTCTACTTCTCTGAATATTAGGGTCAACCAATAACATACTTTTTTATTTTTTTTATTTAAGCCCATCTTGGCGCAGGTGTGATACAATTCTTAGCAAAAATGGCGTTCTGGTGCAAGATGTAGCAGACTTTCGTTCATGGCGCAATTTGGCACAAATGGCGCAGCACTTCCATCACTGTAAACTCCCTCGAGGTCACACCCCAACTTTTGCAGTAGATATAAATGCCTTCGCACTGCTCCGCACATCTGGGCAGCTTTATTCAAAACCTAAGAGAATGATGCAACAGACAATGGTTTCAGTGATGGAAGCGACATTTGAGCTTTGGTAGAAGGTTTTGTGGTGGGCAAGACGTTGGTTTGGAGCAGCCACTGATGCTTTCGGAGCAGATGCCAACATCTGTTTGCTCATCACTTGAAAATAAAAAAGGAATTGCATCGCTAAATAGAAAATACAGCCTTCTTTCTAGAAATAAGGCTCAAATCAATTCACAATTGGTATTAAAAAAAAAAAAAAAAAGTTGTAAAACGAAGCATAGCCCAACCCTTCAGTCGAGGTAAAGGCTCTCCCCCTCCCCCTTTTACAATCGGTAGCTTATTTAGCCTGAAATATAATTCCTGTAAAATACAAAAAACAGCATATCCGCTAAAACGTCTATCAATAAAAATATGTTTTCCCAAGTTAACGAACCTACCAAACTCAAGCTTCTAATATCATAAACTGCAAAAACAATGATCCAGAAATATCATTTAACTGTGCTTTTGTAGCGCTGGAGTCAGAGTTGAGTAGAAGTTTGCTGCCCTTTCGAAAGACTGCAGCACACAAACTATCTTGACTACTGCATTTGTTCAAATATAGACGAGCATTTTTTTTTTCCCCCCCTTTTCTCTGAACAGCTTTTTAAAATGAGAGATCAGCCTACAGTCAAGACCAAAGAAGGTGGACTTGTAATCGTAGCGAGCATAATTTCTGTGCCTATCGAGGTAACTAAGGCATTCCCCCATGTCAGCTGCTGCTCCTAGCACCCCGGTGCAAAGCGGTGAAGCTCGATGTGCGCGTGCGCTGGTGTGAGGCAGTGAACACGCGACCGGTGCAAGTGCCACAGTACACTGTAGCCACGGCACGAAGGCATATGGTAGACAGGTAATCAAGTGATCTCACTAGGAGTAAAAGGCCCTGGTTCTGTCTTATCGTAGCAGCCACCATCCCACTATTTTGCAAATTTTTCTCACGACTTTTAGCTCCTGACATCACTGACATTGTCTGAAAATTCAGACGATGACAGGGCCAGCGCGGCTGACAAGCAATCTCTATACTTGGTGTCATCATAAGTCAAAGTGTAGCTGATGCTACGAGCCAATGGGACCAATCAAACAGCGTCAAAAGTGCGACATCATGGCATTACAGTAAATCCTGTGCAAGCGCCCACTCAAAATTTTGAGATAATCTTGTAAAACTGGCGGATAGGCAGTTCTTAGGTCAACAATACTGTAGACGACTTAATTTTTGCGAGAACCTAATTTTCGCGAATCGCCTACAATTCGCAAAAAATAGGTCCCACGAACAATTCCGGTAAAATCTAAATACATTGGAATCTATATTGAGATCCCACCAAGTCGCAAAAATTAGAACCCGCAAATTATTCCAAAACTTCAGCTTCGACCTAAATCATGAAATATTGAGCCCGCGAAAAATAAGTTGTATACAGTATCTAAAGATATGTTCTTTGTGTACTTTCTGAATTTTACAAAATTGAGGGGTGGGCACTTATTGCGGTATGGGCAGATGCTCGATATCTTATGGTAGTCGTCTTTCTGTATGTGCTTACTGATCGGCTAAACCAACCAAGCACAGTAAATGCCTCGTGACTTGTGCTTTTATAGTATGTGCTGGTAGTTGTGTGTTCGAGCCTACGACTGTGGGTAGACATGCTGTACATATTTGTACAATTTTCCGTTCCTTCTACTTCTCCAAATATAGTCAACCAATTATTACTTTTTTTTTTTTTTTTTTCTTTGTTTAATTGGGGGGTCTCCAAACACCAGCCAACAGGCCAAGCCCAACTCGCGGGCCAAATCCGGCCCGTGGAGGTTTGCCGACCGGCCCGTTTGCCGACCATCCTTTTAACGAAGCCCGGCCCGCAGCCCGGTTCCAGCAAGCCCGCTTCTACCAACGCAAAAGCGCACGTAAAGAAACTGCACCGCAGCGTAAACAAAGATACCAGAAAAAAATTAGAGAAATCTGCTTCTACCATAAAGCATGCCCTCTTCTCATATTATTCACTGGACATTGTCCCCACCATTCTTAGTCCCGTGTCTGTGTAACTCCATAATATATCTGTGTAACTATGCACCCACGCTTGATCTGTACTGGACTCAAAGGAAGGCAAATTTCCAGCATTGTACTGTTCCGCCATCTAGCGGAAGTCGTTTCAAAAAAGAAAAAAGAAATATACTGGAGTCATTTGGCGGTGTAAAAACAAAGTACTTTTCCTGAACATTCCCGCGCACAGCATTCGCAAAACTTTGTACTTGTGAGGCCGGCTTCTGGTATCTGCTGATGATCACATCTTTTCAAGCTATGTAACCTTCGAACTAACAAATCAGGTGCTCTGAGCAATCGAATGAATCGGAATATTTTGTAAGCACATGTGCCGCAAGCAACTTTCTCGGTATTTGTGGAAGTGGAAAGTATGGTCGCCGTGGCCTAGGAGCAACTCACTCCCACACAACTTTCGGAGCTTCAGTTCTTGAAAGAAGCAAATATTTTCATTTCTAGATGGCTTGGAGAAAAAAGAGAGTACATTGAGTTGCAGAAAAATGATCTTCAGCTCCTGCAGTCTCTCTTCAACAATAAAATTAATTATTTGATTATTTTGTGAGCAGCCGCTGGGCCATGGAAAGCACATTTCCCACCATTTCTTTTTTTTTTTTGTGCTTTGAGAAAAAAATTTTATCTTGGCACAGAGTTATTATTAAAAAGCTTTCATACAAAAGAGAAAAAACAAGTTCACCACGGGGCCTACAAAAAAGTCGCCCATGAAAGGGTTAAAAATAAAATATATTCATTCATCCACCTTTTCTTCGTTTTTAATTTTTACTCTTAACTTTTTATTGTTTCTATATGCTTATCTAGGATTATTTATTTAGTTTTTTTATATCTGCTCATTTATTTTTCTGGCCCACGAGACAGCGACAGATTTCCGATCCGGCCCCTTAGCCAAAAAGTTTGGAGACCCCTAGTTACATCTGTTGCCTTCAAAATCAAATTTCTTAGCCACAAACAGAATGGGAGCAAATTTTAAAGAATTCAGTGCAGCCGTCTGTTGGCACAGCCGCACACTAAGCCATGAGCGAGCCTGGTTCGTCCAAAACGATTGACTGTGTGAACCAGGGTAGGCAGACGAGCTATACTTTTCCTGAACACAAAATGGCGAAAGATATGTTTGTGCTACACTAAAAAGAATGTGGACAGGAAGACCTACACAACATTTCGGGCGGATGCCCTTCTTCAAGTAACTGACACGAGAAACGGCAAGGAACAAGTAAGGGTCGTACATGTAAAAAGAAT